CTCAGGATTCTGAGCTGAGTAAGGGGTAAAATCAGAAAAATTGGAAACTTGTGACAAGTGAGCACTATTTAGCCTTGTACCAAGATTATTCAGACAAGCAGGTAATGTGGCGTTCTCAAACTGTAGGTATATTAGAATCAACTGGTTAGGTTATTGAAGGACTGCTGGGCCCCATCCTGAGAATTACAGTGTTTCAAGAATATCCCAGGTGACGCTAATGCTAGTTCTGCTGATCTTGGGACACACATTGTGTGATGTAGAAAAAGGAGGACAGTAGAAGGTTGAAGAGCTGAGACCAAGTTCATTAATTACCACAGCCAGCGGAGTCCCAACGGGGGCTTAATAAAGTCACAACGTTCCTACGAGCACTTGCTCTAAGTAATTCAGTGTTGTTTTTAACAACCAAAGGGCACGGGTGTATGAAAATGTTTTCTTAAAGTAAAAAGTACTGTAGTTATGAGTTATAATTATGTGGGAAGCAAAATAATTTACCTTTTACCTCAAGATTTCTAAATATATTTCAATTTATTTCCAAACAGAAGGCTCTAATATTTAAAGGAAATTCAATGATATGCTATTATTAGAGAAATATTAAATAGCATGCTCAGAATATCCTGTATAAATATTATGTTCTTCAGTTCTATCAAAAATTATGAAACAGTTAACTAAGTAAGGGTCCATACCTGGTGACCCAAGAAGATTCAATGGACCTACCTACCCCAAGCCAGTTATATCACTCAAATGATCCTTTTGGATATGAATAAAACATCCATTTATGTGTTACCTTATCCTTTCCAGGATGCTTTTGTCCATAGAGGCTCCATAAATCAAATTGCAAAGTGACAAAAAAAGGTTATCTTACTAAACCAAGAGAAATTTGCATATAAAATGGTTGGTTCTGAATTGCAAATTACACTCAGGGCTCTTTGCTCTTTGCAAAGGGACCTCACAGAGACCTGAGAGAGAGAGAGAGGAGTTAAAAATGTGTCCCGTGAGAGAAAGATAACAAAACCTCAAATGTGGCTTTTACCTTCTCTCCCCACTGACTAAAGTGGCCACACGCAAGAGGCACAAGCCATAAGTGTCAAGTCAGTACAAAGTGGAGTATGACAGTGTCTACCAAATACCATGTTCCTGCACAAATCAATGAATCTTCTTGCATGGATTTGGACATTTCACATATGCATCATAACCCTACCGCTACATTATTTCTTCCACTATTATTAATTTCAGGCTGAACTCTTGGAAATGTATAGCAAAAGGCAGGATCACCCTTAGCTCCTCTATACCGTGGAAAATGTCCTTTCCTCTGCCCTAAATCTCACATAAATTACTAGGCCACCAGAGCTCCTTTGTGATAGTGATTCTAAAAGTCTTAAAAGCATAGCATCAGTGACGAGAGGGAAGGAAGGAAGGGAAGAAAAGAAGGGAAGTAAGGGAGGGAGGGAGAGAGGGAGGGAGGGAGGAAGGAAAGAAGAAAGGAAGAAAGGAAGGAAGGAAGGAAGGAAGGAAGGAAGGAAGGAAGGAAGGAAGGAAGGGAGAAGAAAAAGATGCGGATTTTTGATCAACTGACCTGTTCTTCTACATGAGGGTCTAATTTAACATCTAATGTTTTATAGGTCTTGTGCAATCTAAATGGTATCATTATCTGTGAATTAATTTTATATTTGAAAAGATACAGTCATCAAACATTAAAAAATTGCTAATTCAGGGTTTGCTGAACAGCTTTATCCAGCTCTACTTATGCAAGGTGTTAAAACTCCAACGTGGAAAGTGCAGCAAAAAACTGCGATTTCAAATAACAGAAACTTATAGGTGTGCATATGCACTGATTTATTATTTGTCACATTGTTTAATATTCTATATCCTGACCTTTTACCACTAATTAAACACCTCCAGTTTTCTATTCTGGAAAGGCAGCTTGGTTAGAACTTTTTTTGGCCTTAGCACTATTTGCTTTCCTAAAATACTCCTCCCCAGAAACCAGTATGATTTGCTCTGTGGCTTCTTGTCTCTGTTCCAGGGTTACTTTGTCACACACAGGCTGCTTTGTCCCAGCACTTCCTATGACCTCTGCCCTCTTTCCTCTATCAGCATTTTCCATCATTAGTATAGTCTATGTTCGTTCACATGCTTATATTATATCATGACCGTCTTCCTCAGTACTAGAAAATAAGTTCTAGGGGACTGGACTTTATTTTGTTCATAAGTCATTGGCACTTAGAAGGAACTCAATAAGTATCTGTTGAGTGAGTGGATGAATCCAAGAGGACCATAAAGCCTAGGCAACATTCTAAAAGCCTCACAAACTCTGAAAAGACAAGGACACGTCACCGCCAATCAAGCTGTGGGAAAGTATTTATCTTCTTCAATTCTATCCTGAGCTAAGATTGAGCATGGGAATGGAAGGCATCCCAGGTACTTTTGTTTGACAGATGAATGCTGCAGCCATGCTATTTGGCAAATACCCTGTACTGGCTCTTGGTTTTAACCTATTCATTAGATTCCCTCAGCTTAGTCCGCCTGAAGCAGCAAAGACTTCTTTATCTTAGTTATAATAGGATAAGATCCTTTTCAGTTCAGAACCTTGAGAAACACACCTGCCCGCGGCCAATAGGTGTTGAGTAACTTTCTCCCAGGACATATATTGGCCCGGGGGAGGGATCACTTGCCTTCATCACTGAGGTTGCTTAAGTTTTCCAGGTCATTCGGGGTCAGTCAATGCTCCCTGGTGCTGATGAACCAGTTGGGGTATCTCTGAGGGATCCAAAGGTCTCCCAACATTGCAGGTTGGTCAGTATTTCATTCTAATTCAACTGAGCTGATGCCCCAGGGAGACTCTTTAATCTCTCTAAGCTTTAGTTCCCCATCCATAGAATGCTGTACAAGAATGTTGTACTTGTCAATCTCCAAAAGTCACTTTAAGTTTCCACACCCTCGAAATCCTACCTCCTCTTCCAACTTCACCACTATTGTTCTTCCATTGATGAAACTGAAGCCCAGAGGAAGAACATGTCATTCTCAAAGTTACCCAGCTGGTTAAATACAGAGGACTAGAACTCAAGATCAGTGATTTTCCATTATGTATTTAACTTCCGTGGATCTCAATCTTCTCAGCTTGAAAACTCTTTGCCTCTTAGGCCTCTTTGGTGGGACAAAAGTAACCATTAGTCACCGAAATTAGTGGTAATATCAAACTGCATTGCTGGGGAAATAGGAGAAGAAAAAGACATAATCTAAATATGAGCTGTCCCACTTAAGATACTGCTCGGGTACTCTACTGCCAGCTCTGGATAAATGATGTAAAGATGATAGAAAAAAAGGTTTCATTTACGGCCTTAGTAAAGACTAAGAATGATGCATTCCTGAAGTAAATATGACTGTATTACATTAGTTTCATGATGAAAGGCTAAGAATTTTTATTCCAGTTTTCACAAAAATGTCTTCTTTTACATCTTACTTCCCTGTGTATCCAATACACCTGCTTATGACCAAGCTATATTGAATAACTTTCCTCCAGAACATATACCACCCCTGGGGAGATCTGGAGGCATCTGAAGATTGCATCAATCTGCCAGGCCACCTGGCTTTCTGGGGGAGAGATAGACCATTTGTTGTACTGAAGATTTAGTTTCAGGGGGCTCTCACAGCAGTGGGTAATTCTAATTCTAAAACTTCCAACTCCTTCCTCTCCTATGTTCAACTACTTCTGTTTGCTGCTGTTAGTTGCCACCAAGAAAATTCTGACTCAGGTATATAAAACTGAACTGTTCCATAGAGTTTTCAAGGCTATGATCTTTCAAAAGCAAATCACCAGGTCTATTTTTCAAGACACTTCTGGGTGGCTTTGAATTACTAACCTTTCAGCCGGTAACTGAGTATTTAATTGTTTATCTAGCTCTCTTCTTTATTTCCCCAATTTATATGTATATCTGTTACAGCACTGTGTTCTTACAAAGCCTTATGAGATAAAGCTCCACATTCTAATACTTTTATCTTGACTGTGAACGATGGCAGAACAGACATATACAGATGCTAAGGGACTGTTATACAAAGAGAAGCTCTGGACTGTATGTTGTTGTTGACTGCCGTCGAGTTGCACACGACTTACAGAGATCCTATGAACAAAAAGCCTGAAGAATTTCTATAGCTATTGTCATTTATCAACATTCATAGAGTTCCCAGAGGCATGTTGTTTAGGAATTGGATACTCCCCAAAGAATACTGTTTATTTAGCCAAATTTATGGAATCTAAATGAGCAATAGAGAGGTATATGCTGCCAGGCTAGGTAGTAGAACATTGTTTTCATATCTAGAACCAGACTTTCTAAGGAACTTAGCTATAAATGGCACCCAAGAATTTAATTTTTTTCTGAGAGAAACTTCTAAATGAAATTAGCCAGAAAGGAAATTTATGAGAGCAAATTATTAGCAATTGTAGAAAAATTCTGTGGGCCTTCATCTTTCATACTTCCTAAGAGGGTTTAGACTCTTTAGTCTTTTATTAAAGAGGCCCTGGTGGTGCAGTGGGTAAGCACACATCTTTAACCAAAAGGCCTACAGCTTAGACTTATTTATCAGCTGTCACAAGAGGGAAAAAAATGCAGCATCAGCTTACATAAAAAGTTCCAGCCTTGGAAATGCTCTGGGGCCCCTATCCTTCGGGTCATTATGAGCTGGAACTGACTGACGGCAAAGGGTTAGCTTGTAATGTTTTACATAGCAGTAACTGTAACAAAATGATGATGATGTTAGCTAACATCCAAGAGTAAGTGGTGGCACACATTATTTCATTTAGCCTTTAGTGTAAAAATCCTCTGAGGAAGGAACTGTTTTTACTTTCGTGCAGATGAGGAAAATGAAGTCTAGAGAGGTGACGTGTCTGAAGTCCTACGGACAGGAGTGTAAAAGTATGAGATTTGAAACAATGGACACGAGAAGTTTTCGGTCTTCCTCTGAGCAGTGGTTTTATGGTTTTAATAAGGACAAACCTGACATACCATTCTGAAATCCTCTTCGAATTTGAAAGCCCCACCTCCTGTGGCACAGAGGGTGGTGTGAAGGCTGGAGAAGTTCTTCTCGCTGCCCATCTGAATGAACCTGTGCATAGCACAGCTGGGAAAGCGGATGAAGTGGAGGTTCCCTTTGCGCCCACTCATGGTCAGGTTTTTCAGTTCCAAGTGGACGTCTCGGATCCCAGTTTTTCCATAGGCGGTATTAGAAGTCAAATACTTCCTGATACTCTTCAGGTTCTCTACTTCTTCTTGTTCCTCTTCAGCCGTAATATCCTTGGGCTCAAAGTAGACCAACTTAACCAGTGTTCCACCGATATCCATTCCAAACCAGGGGAATGCTAGAAGACAGAAACAAAGAGTGCTGCTGAATACCACACGCTCAAGAAAAGTCAGTGTGATGCCTCCTCCCCATCTCCAAATGTTCAATTCTTAAAATAATGTGGTATCACCGCTATATATGCCTAAGAGACACAGATAGTAATTCCTAATTTAAATGGTACCCATGATTGTGCCCACACTCTTTTCAATGTGAGCCAGCCTTAGAACTGAGGATGAGAAGAGATGTGATTCTGCCGTTCCCTAAAACCCGTCTCAATTCCATGCGCTTCGCAGAGTTCAGTTACACTTCTAATATCTAAAGGCAGATATTTTTGCATTCAAAATGGCTCTGCAGTGCAAACTCTCTCTTAGAACATTAGCCACAGAAACAGTGCTCTGTTTCACTGCCAGAAGAAAAATTGGCAGCTTTGTGTGTACCGAGACAGAGAGTGCTGGCTTCCAAGCCACACAGTGTGCTTTTAGGGGATTTTTCAGCGGTCATTTTACAAGTTTCAATTTCTATCCATGAACTGACTTTCTAAGAGGCACTACCCAGGTTTAACACAGAGAATAGGAAGGAGACTAAAGGGAGTATGAGAGATCATGAAGAGACACAATGATCTCCATGGTGGCAGAAATGTAAAAAGCACAGGTCAGGTGCTTCTCTCTGCACTAAGCAGAGAAACTTTCTCCATCTCAAAAGAACACCTGGGAATGAAGGCCCAGCTGTGCCCTAGCTGGGAGGCTGTAACATTCCATTGTTTTCCTTTTCCATATGGTCTCACTTACTTAACACCTTGCCACACACTTTTAGATTGATGACTGTGCTTAGAAACCATGTCATTTGTGGCAAAGTGTCAAGGATATTAGTCAAAGAGACATTCATATCTTTTAAAGGTTTTCAGGGATTCCTATCTCCAGGCCCAGGGACAGTAAGATGGCCTGTGGCCACTGAGGAGTGAGCTAAGTAGCCACTGATTCTTGATCAAATCTGGAAGGGGAAGCTAAGTCTCTAGATAGATGGAAAATATAGATTTAGTTAGCCTGAGATACTTTTTCTTTGTTGTTGTTGTTGTTAAGTGCCGTAGAGTCGTAGGTGACTCACAGCGACCCTATGAATGAAAGACCTGAACACGTGTATAACTTTCATCGTTTCTCCAAGTTCACAGAGTTTCTGGGGGCAAGTTATTTCAGAAGTGGATGCCACTCTTGCTTCTAAGCTTATTTTAATCAGGAAGTTCCACCAAACACTGTCCACCACGGGTAACCAGTATCACATTTGACACATCAGTGTCACAGTGTTTAGCATCACAGCAACCACGAGTTACCTCTGTACAGCAAATGGACAGACCAGTGCTATACCACTTAGAAGAATGTCTGACCAAAAACAATTAAGGCCTGAGGGCTGCAGATGAAAATCACCCACCTTTGACTGGGTAGCATAACTTTCTATCCACTAGGCCAACAGAGCTCTATGTGTTGTTTTTCTTTAGTAATGTAATAAATCCCCACAGGATTATTATTTTAGCAAAAGAAGATTTTTTTTTAGATATTTATATCTGATGGTTATTATTATGGTAACAAGCTGAACTGTCACATGCTCTGCAATGAACACAGAGTGAACCCAAATGTTAGACTGTCCCTTTTTAGTTTCCTGTAATAGAATCCATTGGCTAAGTCTGAAACCATAATATTAAAACTGAGTTTAAAGACTCAGTGTCAAAGACACTTAAAAAAAAAAAAGCTTCTACTTAATTCGGCTCCAAAGAGTATCCATTCCTGCTTGGTGCTTTGGCCGCTAAATGGAAAGGCTGGAGGTTCCAACCCCCTCCATAGCTCCTCAGAAAGAACGCCTGGTGAGCTGCCTCCAAAATATCGACCACTGAAAACACTACAGGGCTCAGTTCTACTTTGACACGCATGCATCACCAGGAATTGGAAGGGACTTGGTAGCCAATGGTTTTGGTTTTGATTTGGGGGAGACAAACCGTGTGTTACATCTACAGTTTATCTTGGCAGAAACATTACTTGAACTGCCAGAAGTTCTTTCCCCTAGGTATCGGTTCCTTAGGCATTCTTTATCCTATCAGTAAGCTGTGCAGACAGTAGTAAGGGTAAACAACGGAAAACCATCCCCGAAACAAAAATTTTTCCCCTTTGCCGCACTGGTTATCATTTTAGTTGTGATTCAAGACAACTGCTTGGGGACATTTCCTAAGCAGTAAACTGAAACACTATAGAAAAGTAACATTTCAAGCTCTAGAAAGATAAAGAGGAATAAATTTCGCTGACAAGTCTAAGTTCATGTGTATGCTATTATCTTTTTAGATGTTTGCAAAGCAGATCCCACACTGGGAGTGAAGGCAAGGCAGCTGGCTATCCTAGCAGGCAATAAGAGAAAACTGGACACAGTTTGATCCCTATTAGTCTTCCAGCTCACGGATGAAATTTCTTGGCCCATCTTGAACACTCACTGTCAGCACGGCCCACAGTGTGGGCTCAGCACCATGTTATGGGAAAGCTCTGAATTAGGATTCAGAGCAACTGCTTTCCGGGAGCAGCCGCCAGAACCCTGCTCCTGGTGAGTCCCACCACCTCTCATCTCAATGTCCTCATCTGGGAAAGGAGCAGAGGGCATTAGAATGCTCTCCAGTTCTTTCCTAGCTGTTAGCTGGCTGTGGATTCTTTAAGAAACAGAAAAAGGAATCCACCCGTGATTACAGAGGCTAAGCAAATCTCTAGTATTAAAACTCCATGAAGATGTTCTACATCAGGTTAACCATGAATGTTACAAATGATCCATTCTTCTAAAAATAGGGAAGACACACAGTGGAGGACAGAAAGGGAGAAGAGTCGTTAGAACATTAATGAGACAATTATTCTGGAACATATTCTGGCAGCATCTATTACATTTAAAAGCGCAAACACATTTTCAAGCTCTCTCCAGGATCATATAAATCAAAGTACCAGTTTTTAAAGGTAGACAGATGTAACAATATTCACTGCAGCACCATTTGGAGGCCAAATTCAAAACAAAGTATAAATAACTTAGCCCATGTAGTTTGGGAAAATAATTTTTAAAATAGTGGGGTGGGGGTAAGAAAGGCAAACAGGCAGATAGGCCAACCTGTAGATCTGTCCTGTGGAAAGATATGAAAGGATTACCCCCCTTCGTCCCAGGTTGTTAATGACAGAGGGTGGCACGTGTAGGATATAGAAACTGGAGAAGCAGGGGAGGGGATAGTGCAAATTCTATACGAAGATAAAACATAAAAACCAAACAAACAAACAAAACAATCACAAGCAACAAACAAACCAAAATCTTCCATAATAATGTGTCCCGAGACAGGCAGTATCTTAGCACAGAATGGATGAAATATGCTGCACAAAAAAATAACCCGCCTCTCGCCCTGAGATCCCGTATTCTCCCAGACACTGCTGTTACCTATAAGGAGGAAGAGTCCTAGACACGCTTGTTGGGTGATTGACCACTGGTAAGCAAAGAAAACGGAAACGTGGTCTCACTTCAAAAAACACCATAGGGGTTTCAGAACATTTCATAAGTTCTTTTAAATCCTGGCTTCTACTTTCAAAGTGTTTCCTGGCAAAATCAAAACTGTGGGGGAAAGTGTCGTGGTTTTGGCAACTCAGTTGGTTAAATATTGTTATCAGCAGCATTGGTTAAGGTGAAAAGCGACTAAAAATGGGAAGGTGAAACAAGGGCGCTCCTTAGAGGCACTGATGGTGCAACTTTATTTTGCATATTTCGGACATGTTGTTTAGGGAGAAGGGCCAGTCCTTGGAAACGCACATCCTAACTTGGAAAGGTGAGGGCCAATGAAGGAGGGATCGACACTGAGTGGCTATAACGATGGTTTGAGCTTAGCAGAGATGGTGAGCAAGGCACAGGGTGCGGCAGGATTCAGACCCTTGTTCACAGGGTTGCTGAGTTGTCGTCGGCTTGACAGCACACAATACTATTCCTTTAAATGACAACAATGACTGCTTTCATTTATCTATGTGAGTTCCTTACCTTTAAGGAAAATTTACTCTTTCTATGTTTATATTTGAATGTTTTTTCAGGATACGATCTTATTTTAAATACACAGTTTTGTTGATCATCCTGAACTCAGAGTCTACCTAAACTGAAGAGGATGCTAATACAGTCATCACCCATCACTCAGTTTTTTAAAAAATTCAGGAAACCCTGATGTTTTGGTGTTTGTTTTTTTTTTTTTAAACCCTGATGTTTTGATAGATGTAGTTGAAACATTGATAAAAACAACCTGTTCAGTGTTTGCCAGAAGTAGTTCTGGATAGCGAACATTTACAAGTACCTCTTCTTCTTCTAACTAGGAAGTCAAGACTACTTCCATAAACAAGCAAACTGATCTATTCATTCAAAATGGTTTTTACCACAATTGAAGTATGTATAAATTAGAAGTAAACATTTTAGAAAAACTAGATGCTACAAATAAATGGTTGACTTTATATCTATCTTCTCTCAAAGTTTTATAAAAAAAAGTACAAAGACTTATTTGATAGAGGACTCTATCACACACTAAGACATATATAAAAGTTGTTCATAGCAGCAACTTGTGATAATGGAGAGTAATGGTGACCACAGAGCTGTCCATCAATAAGGAAATGTGTAAGTAAAGTATGATGCGTTTATTCAGTAGGATACTCTACAAAGTCAAGACAATCAATTAGATTTATGTCTCAATCCATGTAGATCTCAAAAAACAATACAGCAGGAATATATATACACTGGGGAAAAAAGGCTCAGTGGAAATCCAGGTCAAGGCATTTAATTCCAGGCATGAAGCAGTCTAGAGCTTTCCTTGTGACCTACATAAGAGACACTCAGCTACTGATTTATTTTCAGCATACAACTTGGAATGAGAATGCAGCCAATCAATGAACCAGTCTGAGCAAACATATACATACAAAAAAGAAAACATCTTTGTTCGTTTAAGTTACTGAGATTTGAGTGTTAACTATCGCAATGGACTATGAT